GGGAGGTATGCCATCACTACTTCTTCTGATACCGCACAGCTCTGGGACTTGGATACCTTTCAGAGAAAAAGAAAGCTGAATATTCGCCAGTCTGTGGGTATACAGAAGGTCAGTGAGGAGGGACATCTTGGCCTGTTGTGATTCTCAGGCTAGTTACTTGGTCGGAAGAATGTAAAGATGATATAAAAGTAATGATTCTCTTTGTCCCACATAGCTGTGTTCTTGGAATTCAGGAACAAGCAAAGCAAAACAGCCAACAGAATCAAAGATGCTGCCTATTGTAACTTATAACTTTCTGAGCTTCTTTCAAAAATTGTTATTAACAGCTGTGTGACTTCATCTTTCATAAGGATGATGGTTTTTTTATTTAGTTCATTGGTTTTGTTTTAGTTTTTTCTTCAACATTTTATGAAAAATCGCAAACATTCAAAGAAATTGAGAGAATTTCACAGTGAACATATTACATCAACCATTTAGATTCTACTATTAACATGTTACTTTGCTGTGCTTTATTATACTTTACATTTGACTATACTATGTCACGGATCTATCCATCTTATCTATCCCTCTATTCATAAATTCATCTTTTTTTAAATTTTTGCATTTTATAGTAAGTTATAGACACAAGTATTAAAAAAAAAAAAACCAAACTCGTTGCTGTTGAGTTGGTCCCGACTCAGAGCGACCCTACAGGACAGAGTAGAACTGCCTCGTGGGGTTTCCAAGGCTGTAATCTTTACAGCACGTTACAGCAGCAGACTGCCACGTCTTTCACCATCAGAGTGACTAGTGCGTTCAAACTACAGACCTTTTGGTTTGCAGATGAGCGCTTTCACCACTGCGCCACCAGAGCTCCTGATAAATGCATATACCTGTATAATCTGCGCTCACGTATCATTGTCATCATCCCAGAAAATTCCATCATGTCCCTTCCCAGTCAATCCCCACTCCAAGTAAGCACTCCTCTAATGTTTTCCCACTGTAAGTTAGTTTTGCTTGCTCTAAAATTTCCTGTAAATAGAACCATTTCAGTATGTACTCTTTGATATAAGGCATTCTTCACTGAGCATGATGCTTTTGAGATCTTCCGTGTTGTTGTATGTATCAATAGTTCGTTCCTTTTTATTGTTGATTTTAGTATTCCACTGTATAACATACCACCATTTATTTTTAAAATCCGTTTATTTTGCTTTTAAGATTTAATTTTTTTTTTCCTATTTGCTTAGCCAAATGCCATTTTGAGGAGTGTCTTGAGTCTCCCACATGATTGATTACTTTGCTTCAGGTTATGTTACACATGCAGTATTGCTTTTAATTTCTTGGTTATTAACATAAACAGCTAGCAATGCATGTCAACCACAAATTTATTTTGTAGTCTCCGTGGAAATCCCTGAGTTTTTTAGTTTACCTTTAATAATTGAAAAGAGATAAAAGTTGTAGCCAGCTTATCCATTAGAGATTTAGGCCAAATGTGTTGGTAGGTCTTTTCTTCTTAAATTGCCTCAGTGCTTAAATTGAATTTTGAATTCCGAAGAAGAGAGCACTGAGAGTTGAAACCACAGTGGAAACAGAGTTATGAAACAATGATACAAAAGCCATCTGTTCTTTCTACCATGAAATTTACGTTAGTGTGCGCTGGATCAGCGCCAGTTCTAACCTTGCTTGGCCATTTAAGTTTAGAAATTAGGACTCCAAACGTTAGTGGTATGAGAGTAAAATTAAATATAGAAAATGTATGTATATTGTGAAGTATGCATGTAAGTATATTGTTCTAAAATAATAGAACATTATAGTCTGTTAAAAGGACTCCTGGTGGCACACTGGTTAAGCGCTCGGCTGCTAACCCAAAGGTCAGCGGGAAAAAAGACCTGGCGATCTGCTCCCATAAAGATTACAGCCTAGGAAATCCTGGGGAGCAGTTCTGCTCTGTCCTGTAGAGCACTCTGAGTCAGAATCAACTCCTCCACACACAACAACATAGTCTGTAAGTTAACAGCAAACTTTTTATTAAAAGATCAGATAGTAAATATTTTAGGCATTGTAGGCCAAGAGGCAAAATAAAGGCTACTATGTGTGTACTTTTATAACCATTTAAGATGTAATGATTTAAAAAATGTAAAAATCTATTCTTAGCTCCTGGGTTTTACAAAAACTGGCACTGTGCCAGATATTTGCCATCCTGGCTTTTACTGTAAAAAATAGGAAATAAATAACCTAATCTTAAAGTAAAATTTTAATTCTTATAAAATTTTAGTATAGTTGGCTAAACCTGTATTTTTATTACAGTTTCAGATTCTGTATTTTAAATAGATCTTTTATGACTTTTTTTTTGATATCTCACGAAAGTAGTAATAATACCTACATCAGGGTTAACTTGAGGATTGAATGAGATAATCTATGTAAAACACTTTGCATGATGCTGTTGTATAGTAAGTGCTTAGCAAAAGTAGCTGCAGCTGCTGCTATTTCTATTATTGTTGTTATTGTTATCATTATCGATACTATTATGGGGTTATCTCAGTGCAATTAGACATGTTCTTAAAAAGCTGTAAGGTAAATAAATTTATTATTTTTCTTTTGAACTACATTATATAGGTACACAACCTCTTACTGGCAATTCAAAAATTAAAAAAAAAACAACAACTCCAAAACTCGAAAGTGTTTTAATAACATTTGTTGGCAAAATGTGATCTGAGCTGAATTCATTTGGTACCATACCTGAATATGGACATGAGGCTGAAATATTAATGCGTTTTAGTGTAGGGTGTTGCCCCAGGCCCCCTAGAGGTTCTACATAATAATATACAGTGTGCATTGCATTATTACCTTTCTAATACTGGAAAGAATTCTGAATTCTAAAGCACATCTGGTCTTGAAGTTTTCAGATAAGGAACTATGGACCTTTGATTTCACAATGTTTTAAAGAACCTACCACTCTTTTCACTAATTTTTATACGTAGCAATAGCAGTAATTAATACTAATAGTAATGTGTACCAATTGTCAAGTATACGTTCTATGTGCCTGGCACTTTGTATAATTACTTTTAAGCTTAAATAATTCTAAATGGTAGATACTATTATCCCCATTTGTAAACTGAAGTTCAGAATCATTAAGTAACTTGCCAATGTCACATAGTTTATAAATTGTAGAGTTTCAGTTTACATCCAAGCCTGTCTTACGCAAAAGCCATTCCATTATACCATACTGGAATACCATTATACTCAGGTACACCCATCACACTTCTTCAAACTGGTAAATTCTGATTCTTTCGTTGATTCTTGGAGATGGGATATTCAGCTCTTAGTTAGCAAGTTTGGAATAAATAATTCTGGGGTTTTTAATTACTATGATCAGTATGTATCTGAAGAGGCTTTGTGATGAATATTAGAAAATATGTAATACAGAATGTGTTACTGAACTTAATTCAAATGATCTTTATACTAAATATGGCTGAGTTGTACATTTGACCTTAACTAGCTAATATTACTATCCTTAACTCTAAATTTTGGAAAAGCTAATGTACAACTAAAAATGAATTAGAAAGCTTAATTCATATTCCGTAAGGAAAAACGGGAGCGCCATTCTTGACCCCAGCCCCCCAAAAAGTGCATCTTCTTAATGCTTTTAATGTTTTTCCTAAGCTCTTTATATTTGTCAGGAGATGACACTAGCTACATAATAATGATACGATTCATTAGGAACAATTTTATAATCATTAAAATCTAGCAATTAAAATCACAGATCTAGTAATGAATAATCATGTAGGCAATAATCTATCACAGTTCTTTCCCTAAAATAGCAGTTGATGCTCATTATCTTTTAAGATTTTGCCTCTCCCCTTAGGAATAAACTATATTACTTTTCTAGAAAAATGACTGCTAATTATAATAAAAATTTTCCTAAGTCACTTTTTTTTGGTCATCAGATTTGAAACAATGTTGTAATGCGTTCATTATAAATGTAATGTATTCATTGCAGATTCCTTCTATAAGATCTTGGTATTATAAATCTTTCTAACATAACGAATCTATTAACCAAAGCCCTACCAGAGATTATCTTTGGCAAAGTGAGCCAAGGTCAAAAGTAAGGAACATCTGATGTGGTTGTTAGCAATTTTTGTGTCTTACTGATTCTGAGTAGATTGTTTTAATTAACCAGTATGTTCCATAGTGCATTATATTTATGTGGGTATGTCTTATACAGATGACACGTAAAATTATATTTGAGGCAGTTGAAGATCTTACGAGAAAATATTAGTCAATTTCAGTTACAATTTTGTGTCTTAAAAAGGAAGCAGTATTTAGTGCTTATGCAATAGAAAAATGAAAAATTGGGAGAATAAAATGAGGTTATTTTCTGCTTTGCTATCAATTAATTTCCATCTCAGTTGTCCATTGAATAAATTCAATCTGTAATTAAATATGATCATATATTTATCTTCAACTTTTTACTTTTATAAATAATGTTTAACAAACATTTATATACATTTATTTTAAGCACTTTGTTGATTATTTCCAAAGGATTAATTCTTTGGAGTAGATTGGCTAAGATAGAAGTGATACACATTTTTAGGACTCTTGAGATACGTCGTACATTCTGTAACCAGTTTTTACTCCTAGCAACAATGTATGGCAGTGCCATGTCCCCAGACTTTCACCAACATTTAGTATTTTTAACAGTATTTAATATTTATCAGTATTCAGTATTTACTATTTACTGTAGTGTTTATACTAGTATATTAATGTAATTGATAAATACTGTATTATGCATTTGTTCATCTATGTATGGTCTGTGTATGTATACACTATATTTGTGTACATTATTTTTTTAAACAAATTAGATATACATAAAATGTTATCTCAACTTTCATTTCAATCTTTTATTATAAGGTTAAGTATTTTTAAATTGTTACTTAGTATTTTATAAATTGCCTTGTTATTATAGTCACCTATTTTTTATTTAAAGAGATTTACCATTTCTTTTTAGTTTAAATAGTTTATGAAAAATCAGTACTATCCCGTCATATATTGCAAATGGATTTTTTTTCCAGTTTAAGAAGTGATCATTTTAAAAAAGAAAAATTGACTATTTCTGTAATTTTAAATTTAAACCCACCAGCCGCTCTGTGGGAGAAAGATGTGGCCATCTGCTTCTGTAAAGATTACAGCCTTGGAAACCCTATGGGGCAGTTCTACTCTGTCCTGTAGGGTCTCTATGAGTCAGAATCGACTCGACGGCACACAACAACATAAAATCCTTATGTGAATAGTAACTTTTTTTTCCTCCCTCTTTAGGTTTTCTTTCTGCCGTTAAGTAATACCATCCTCAGCTGTTTTAAAGATAATTCCGTCTTTGCCTGGGAGTGTGATACTCTCTTTTGCAAGTATCAATTGCCAGCTCCACCTGAAAGCTCGAGTATATTATACAAAGTGTTTGCTGTGACCAGGTAGTGTGCATTTTAAAATGCTGAGAATTTTTAAGAACTTTAACTTGTGGTGAAATTTTATCAATTTTCGTTCAATATCTTATTGTCACATGAGGAAAAGCTTCTTTCAAATTTAGATGTGGTCTGCAGAACCTTTTTTTTTTTTTTTAAAACTTTGTTGTGGAACACTTCAAATATACCCACAAATAAAATAGTATGTATGTTTTTGTCCATTGTCATTGTTGTTAACCTAGTCCAAACTCTCTTGGACCATTATAATAGCCTCTTATTTGGTTTCCCTGTTTTCAATCTCATTTCTTAAAGTCAGTCTCTACACAGCAGATAGAGCGGTCTTCTTACATCATTAAGTTAGAGCATGTCACTTCCCTATTTAAAACCCTTCAGAGGCTTTCCATTGCGCTTAGAATAAAATCCAAACTCCCCACCGTATCCTGTGAGGCCTTCTTAACACTTTTATACTGGCCAATCAGGATGCTGACCAGCATGGAATCCTTCAGACCATCCCAGGACTGGCCCGTTCACGTCGTTCAGATCACAGATCTTCCTCCTTTCCCAGCTTTCTGACATCACCTCCTTTTATAATTCTATAATAGAACTCATTACCAGCTGAGATCAAGTTCGTGTTTGTTTACCTTCCTCTAGAATGAAATTCCACAGGAGCGGGATCTTACCTGTCTTACTACTGTGTCCCTGGTATCTGGAATGATACCTGGCTTATAGTAGATACTTCATAAGGCCTTGTTGAATAAATGAGCAACAAGCTTGCAAATCAGTACAACTTTATTCATTTAGCTATTCTTTTTGCACCTTGCAAACATAATTTAGCTTTCTTTCAGCAGGAAAAAAGTTTGGGCTTTTTTCTTTTTTCATATAGCAATACAGTGCCAATTCAGTACAGTTGTGTGCGAAATATAGAAAGTTGAGATGCTTTGAAATATAAATGTTACTCAGGAAACCCCCAGTTAAGTCATCAAACAAATGTTTGTTAAACTGGTGCCTTAGTGCAATAGATGAAAAATATACACTATAAACCTGACCTGTCCAATATAGTAGCCACTAGCCTCATGTGACTATTTAAAATTGAAGTTAATAAAAATCAAATAAAATTAAAAATTAATCTCCTCAGTAGCACCAACCATATTTCAAGTGCTCAGTAATCACATGTGACTCATGGCTACCTTATTGGACAGCATAGATACATGAACTTCTCCATCATCACAGAAAGTTCTGTTGGATAGCACTACTATAAACTGTTCAACTAGTCTTACTTCTCACCTTTTCATTATATAGAGATGGTCGAATCCTAGCTGCTGGAGGCAAATCAAATCATCTTCATCTGTGGTGCTTGGAAGCTAAACAGCTGTTTAGCATCATCCAGATGCCTACTAAAGTCCGAGCCATTCGCCATCTGGAATTTCTTCCTGATGGTTTCGATGCTGGTTCTAACCAGGTTAGTAATGTAAATGTAGGACATTGTGCTTTTTGAGAAGAATCACGTCAACTTCTAAACTTTCCTAGCTCTTACTTATTTAACTTATACCCTGACTGTTACAGGACTTGAAATTACTAATAATAGGTTATTTTTGTGATGAGTCTGGAACTGAAAAAATGTCAAAATATTTTGTCGTGTTCATTACTGACAGTTTACCCTTTTAATAAAATCAGTATACCTTAAATTTATGTCATATTTTATGGTTTGCAGGGTGCTTTAGCATGTTATTTTTCATTTGAGCCTTAGAAGAATTTTTTGGAGATTGGCAGGGATGATATCCTCCCTGTTTTACAAATTATGACACTGAAGCTTAAAAACACGAAGTGATCTGTCAACATCCCTATTAATTGTAAGGAATAAAGGTGGAACGAGAACTGAAGTTTTCTCACTTTGTTATATTGTGTTTTTCCTACCAGTTCTATGAAAAATGTTTTATTTGTATCTTACCTTAGCTTACAAAAAAATGAGCCCTGGTGGAGCAGTGGTTAAGCGCTCGGCTGCTAACAGAAATGTTGGCGGTTTGAGCCTACCAGCCACTCCAAGGGAGAAAGATGTGGCAGTCTGCTTCTGTAAAGATTACAGCCTTGGAAACCCTGTAGGGTACTTCTACCCTGTCCTATAGGGTCACTATGAGTCGGAAGCAACTCGAAGACAACAAGTTTGGGTGTGTTTTATTTTGTTTGTTTGGTTTAGTTTACAGAGTGCTTCCTTCTACCAGTCCCCAACCTCCTTCCTGAACTCTTTTTTTTTTTCTCTTTCTCAGTTGAGTGCAATCAAATCTTAACTTTCCTACTTTAAATTGTTGTTAGGTGCCATCAAGTTGGTTCCAACTCATGTGACTCCATGTACAACAGAATGAAATATTGTCTGGTCCTGTGCCATCCTCATAATCATTGCTATGTTTGAGCTCATTGTTGCAGCCACTGTGTCCATCCATCTCACTGAGGGTCTTCCTCTTTTTTAAATTGACTGTCATGGATCTCATACTTTAACAAATTATTATGTATGTGTTACGTATATTTGTATACGTGTGTGTATGTATCATATCTGTTTAAAGTTTTTTGAATAGGTAACATTTTCACATGGTTGAAAACAAAAAAAAATGTAAAAACATACAGTGAAAAGTCACTCCTGTCTCCCATTTGCCCAGTTATCACCTCCCCTATAACCACTGTTGTCATGTATAGTTATATACAGCTTTGCACCTTACTTTCTTCACTTAATTTTTCTTGACGATTCTTCCATATCAGTACAGAACTTTGTTTTTTTACAGCTGCGTGGTATTTCATAGTTTTTTTTTTAAACCAGTCCTCTGTTATTGAGCACTTAACCTGTTTTTAGTCCTTTTCTATTACAGATAAGGAAGCACTGGTGGCATAGTGGTTTAAGAGCTAAGGCTGCTAACAAAAAGGTTGGCAGTTCGAATCCATCAGGTGCTCCTTGGAAACCCTATGGGGCCATTCTGCTCTGTTCTTTAGGGTCGCTATGAGTCAGAATCAACTCGATGGCAATGAGTTTGGTTTTTGGTTTTATTACAAATAATGCCTCATGGAGTAACTTTTTGCATACGACATTTCATGCGTCTAATCTGTGAGGATAATATTCCAGAGCTGAGATAGTGGCATAAGCATAGTTATGGGCATCTGTAATTCTAATAGATTTCGCCAAATTGCCCTTCAGAGGGGTTGCAGCAACTGCAGATGAAAGGGTTTGTTTCCGACAACCTCACCAAAGGAAAAGCTTGCTTTACAGATGTTCCCCTCCAAGCAAGCAACATCAGTGTTTTAAACTGCCATGTATCAGCACTGCTTACCAGCCACTGGCACTAGAAAAAGAACCAATGTGTAGAGACAGCAAAGGGTTTTATTTGCTTAAACTTTGTTTTTAATTTTTCAAATTATATGAGTTAAAACTCTAAAAAAAGTTTTCCCTTAAAAGACTTGCTTCCCCTTTTGCCCCTCCACTATCTTTGCAGCTTTCAAACTTTCTCTACTCCCCAAACGTTAGTTGCTGAAAACACGCCCTGGGGGGAACCTTACCAGTGGTCATAAGCTTGTGTGGGTGTCAGGCTGATGCTTAGCTCTGATTAAGCTGGGTGGATGGTAAAGGAACACAACCCCTCCACCCTCCTTGTTCTGACAGCCGTGTGGAGGCAAAAACCAGGAGCTGTCTAATCATCTGCATCCCCTCGGTAGGAGGTCAGTGGAGATGTGCCCTGCCTAAAGATAGGGAAGATTCTTAGGTCACCTTTTCATACTCCCACAGCGTGGGTGCCTTCCTAGTTCTGGTTTATAGTTGTGTGCTGTCAAGTCTGTTTTGACTCACAGGGACCCCATGTGACAGAGTAGAACTGACCCATAGGTTTTCTTGGCTGTAATCTTTACGGAAGCAGATCGCCAAGTGTTTCTCCCATGAAGTCACTGGATGAATTCAGAACTCCATTCTTTCAGTTTTAGAGCCAGGCTTATCTGGGCCTGAGCAAGGCAAATCTACAAGAGCCAAAATTAGGGGCTTTAAAATATATTATAGCTCTGTGAGAATCCTCTGACTTCCCTCCCTCAAACACATACAAACACACATATGTATATATGTGTTTGTGTATAGATTGAGTTACAGACATTGACTTTCATGTTTTTATATATTGTTTCTCTCTACTTGTAGGTTCTTGGAGTGCTAAGTCAAGATGGTATTATGAGATTTATCAATATACAGACTTGTAAACTTCTCTTTGAAATTGGGAGCCTTGACGAGGGAATTAGCTCATCAGTAATCAGTCCACATGGACGGTACATTGCATCTATTATGGAAAATGGAAGTCTGAACATATATTCAGTTCAGGCTTTAACTCAGGAAATAAATAAGGTATGTTATCAAGTAAATAACATCAATTTTAAAAAACACTCAAATACTGTATCATCAGTAATAACATTTTTATGTTTCTGTTACTGTCTTGGAACTTATCTGTTTTCTGGATTTTTTTTTTTTTTGCTATTACTCCAAAAGCCACATCTCCAGCCTTGATTTCTCCCTTTGCTTAAATAGCTTCTGTCCTAAAGGACATCAGTGTTTGGTGTTCTTATCCCTTTCAAGGTCCCACTCACGATCTCCTTCTCAAAAGAGGCCTTCAACCCCAGTTTCTTCGTCTCTGTCACACTCTTTCTTCCCGCCTTGTAGTCTAGAAACCTTGGAGCTCCATGACTGTTCCTATTCCTTTATTCCCTAAATCAGTCATGTAATTTCTTAAATTTGAAGTATCTGCCGATGTGCTGCCTGTTCTCACCCCTATTTTAGCTATCCTTGGATTGGCCCTCATTAACTACTCTGGATAACAGTAATTTAAACAAAATCTCCAGACTCCGAGCCCTCTGCCTGCACCTGCCCATCAATTCATCTTCTATTTGATATATTTCTAAAATAATGGTTTCATCAGTGTTTCTAAAATAATGCTACTTCATTGGCTTCCTTCCTTTTGCATTAGTTCCAGATTCTTCTGCCTGGCTCTATAAGTCCCCTCTCATCTTGTCTACTCTACCCATCCACCTCTTTGTCCCATACTTGTAACTCCCCTCAATGTCCCCTGTAGATGCCATTCTCATTTCTACAGCCGTTAGCCACGTGCTTCATTTCACCAAAAATGCACTGCCCACTCCTCTTCTATGGTTATCTGAAACTTCCCGAGCTCATTGCCAAGTCTGGTTGTCTGTGTCAGCCTTCCCAGTCTGGAATTGTACCATGGTAACACTGGGAGGGACTTCAGTGATCTAACCCCATCCTAATCACACAGCTACCCATTACCAGGCCCAGGTGTTGTGATTATTAATATAAAGGTTTTTGTGTTTTTTGTTATGTGCCACCTCCTTTTTGCCCTTTTAATAATATTATTATTATTATACAAGTAATATCTGTCTCATTGCAGAAAAACAAGAAACACAGATAAGCAAGTAGATAAATAAAAATCATTTGTTCATAGTCTCACCATTCTCAGATGGTTTTGAGATGTATACTTTCCCAATCTTTTTTCTGTGTATGCAAATGTGCGTGTGCATACATTTATATGGATATTTGCATGATGTTGTTGTTAGGTGCCATTGAGTCGGTTACAACTCATAACTTCCTTATGTATTACAGAACGAAACGTTGCCTGGTCCTGCACCATCCTCACAATTGTTGCTATGTTTCAGCCCATTGTTACAATAAAATTAGAAAAGCTGTCAGTCTATCTCATTGAGGGTCTTGCTCTTTTTTGCCAGCCCTCTATTTTACCAAACATGATATTCTTCTTCAGGGATTAGTCCCTCCTGATAACGTGCAAAGTAAGTGAGACAAAATCTCCCTATCATCCCTTCTAAGGAGCACTCTGGCTGTACTTCTTCCAAGACAGATTTGTTCATTCTTTTGGCAGTCTGTAGTATATTCGACATTCTTCACCAACACCATAATTCAAATGCATCAGTTCTTTGGTCTTCCTTATTCATTGTCTAGCTTTTGCATGCATGGGAGGTGATTGAAAACACCATGGTTTGAGTCCGATGCACCTTAGTCTTCAAGGTGACATTTTTGCTCTTCAACAGTTTAAATGTCTTTTGCAGCAGATTTGCCCAATGCAATGCGTCTTTTGATTTCTTGTCTGCTGCTTCCGTGGGTTTTAATTGTGGATCCAAGTAAAATGAAGTCCTTGACAACTTCAGTCTTTTCTCTGTTTATCATGATGTTGTTTATTGGTCCAGTTGTGAGCATTTTTGTTTTGTTTATGTTGAGGTGTAATCCATACTGAAAACTGTGATCTTTGATCTTCATCAGTAACTATTTCAAGTCCTCCTCGCTTTCAGCAAGCAAGGTCGTGTTATCTGCACAGCACAGGTTGTTAATGAGTCTTCCTCCAATCCTGATGCCCCGTTCTTCATATAGTCCAGCTTCTCGGATTATTTGCTCAGGACACAGATTGAATAAGTATGGTGGAAGGAAACAACCCTGACTCACACCTTTCCTACTTTAAACCACGCAGTATCCCCTTGTTCTGTTTGAATGACTACCTCTTGATCCATGTATAGGTTCCTCATGAGCACAATTAAGTGTTCTGGAATTCCGATTCTTCACAATGTTATCCATAATTTGTTATTGTCCGCACAGTTGAGTATCTCTGCATAGTCAGTAAAACACAGGTAGATATCTTTCTGGTATTCTCTGCTTCCAGCCAGGATCCATCTGACATCTGCTGTGGTATCCCTAGTTCTGTGTCCTCTTCTGAATCTAGCTTGAATTTCTGGCAGTTCCCTGTTGATATATTACTACAGCTGCTTTTGAATGATCTTCAGCAAAATTTTACTTGCATGTGATATTAATGATATTGTTCAATAATTTTCACATTTGATTCAGTCACCTTTGTTGGGAATAGACATAAATATGGGTCTCTTCCAGTTGCTTGGCCAGGTAGCTGTCTTCCATATTTCTTGGCATAGACGAGTGAGCATTTCCAGCACTGCATCCATTTGTTGAAATATCTCAATTGTTATTGCGCCAATTCCTGGAGTCTTGTTTTTTGCCTGTGCCTTCAGTACAGCTTGGACCTCTTCGTTGAGTACCATTAGTTCTTGATCATATGCTAACCTCCTGAAATGACTGGAAGTCGACCAATTCTTTTTGGTGTAGTGGCTCTGTGTATTCCTTCCGTCTTCTTTTGATGCTTCCTGCATCGTTTTAGTATTCTTCCCATAGAATCCTTCCGCACTGCAACTTGAGGCTTGAATTTTTTCTTCAGTTCTTTCAGTTTGAGAAATGCAGAGTGCGTTCTTCCCTTTTGGTTTTCTATCTCCAGGTCTTTGCTCATGTCATTATAATACTTTGTCTTCTCGAGCCGCCTCTGAAATCTTTTCAGCTTTTACTTCATCATTTCTTCCTTTTACTTTAGCTACAGAATTAGCTAAACCTTATTAATAGAGGGGAGAGAGATCTGAGAAAAACCAAGGTAAAGTGAGTCATTGACTTCCTCTCAGCTCTCACTTGTTAAGCAAATTGAGATCATATTGTCATATTGACCAGAAAAGCTCACAACAGAACTAGAATAGTCTTTTTTTTTTTTTTGACACAATACCAGCACCACCAGTATCTTTATTGCTCTTCTAGGCTACACAAATAACCAGGTCCATATTCTCTAAAACTTAACTCACCTGTGTCTCATTCCTTCCAAGTCCTGTTTCTTGCCACTGGAAATTTCTAGTATTATGCTAATAAAGTAAACTAATTCTTATGTGTTAGAGTTTAACATTATGAAGTTACGGCAAATCAGGTTGTATCTCAGGCTCTAACTTCTGGGAGATTGTACTTTGTGGTAGAGCATGGTGCTCAAGCAGGAAAGATGTGACATTAGAATAGAAATTTTGATTTAGAGTTTTAGCCTTGTAGGTATAATGATATATGCAAGCTGGGCTCACAAAAAATGTTTTTGTTGTTATAACTAGCTACAGGGATATTTTTATAGATGATCGTTTTGGTGTCACACCCTCTGTCAGTGCCACCTGGTATGGTCCACATCTCCCGCACCTCCCTAGTGACACCACTGGAGATGGGTAAGAACCTTCTGAGGTCTTTCCAAGAGTTGCTCCTACAGAATGGGAAGTCAGGAAAGATGAGATTGGTAGGGTTGGGTAGGGTAGAAATTTTAATAAAAATTTATAAGAATGGGTTGAGGTTGAAGAGAAGATAGTTCAAGGATATTAAAGATGGGTAATATTCAGAAGTCTGGCCACTTAATTCCATTTCATAGATGAAGAATTGAAGACTTGAATCACAGAATAAGTGATCATTGTACTTTAATTGTATTTAGGACTCAGCCTGAGTTACCTTATCTGCTCATTTCCTTTGAATAAGGATCTTAGGATTTCAAAGAGTATTATTCATGGAGAAAATGTTTTAGTGAATTATTTTACCTTAAGTAAGGTGAAGTTGAATTTTTATTTTCTGTTTGAGAAGCCCCATAAAAATGAGGATTTGGATTCTAAATCTTGCTCTCTGAACTGCCTCTTAAGCTGTTGATACAGTAATAGGTTAACAGAGCCATCTCTGTGCAGATTGAAAAACCTTAACCAAGGACAGCAAGGCAGGAGCTCCATGCTTCCAAGTAGGAAGTCATTTGATAGTTTCTTCTCTCTGAGAGAAATTTCACTTGAGCCTCGAGAACATTAGGGTGCTTCTCTCAGCTTCTAGAGGGCCAGATGCTGCCTTCTCCTCTGCAGATTATCTCAATATTTCTAACATTATCATGCAAGTGTGAAAAATGATTTGGTGTTCTATGATTTAAGGCCAGCTGTCAAGGACTAATTAAATTCTGTTTATTGCTGTTATTTAATCATGTTTCTTTAGTATTTTCTCCAAAGATAATTTGACAGAAATTTGCTTAGGTTTGTTAGTCAACAAGGAAGCGTTCTTAGGCATTTTGCTTACACTTTTTGCCTGAAGAATAACAGTGTATATTAAGATGTGTTACTAAATTAAGGCAAATTTTTTAAAAAAATCATACATTAACAGGCCTGTTTTCTCACAATATCCACTGGAGTTTTTTGGTTGTTTTTTTTTTCCTTTTAGCCACCTCCTCCTTTAGTGAAAGTGATTGAAGATTTGCCCAAGAGCAAACTGAACTCCAGTGATCTTAAGATGAAAGTAACATCAGGAAGGGTGCAGCGGCCAACAAAATCAAGGGAAAGCAAAATACAAACGAGAATATTAAAACAAGACCTGACTGGTAATTTTGAAAATAAAGAGGTAAGAATATATTACGTTTTTGTTTGTCATGGCTCTGCTGTAGACAAGCCTTGTTGGTTTGTATTCCATCATCACTCTTCCCTCTTGGGTAATTTATCCAAGAAAAAAAATCTTTCTTGATTTACACTTTCATTTTGTGGGAATACATTCTTCAGTAGCTCTTGAGAAAAGGGTACAGGAGGACAAGGTAACTTTTTTTAAACTTTGTAGGTCTAAAAATGCCCTTAGTAGCCTATCCATCATACTTTAGTGATAGTTTGGGTATAAAATTCTAGTTTACAGATAATTTTCAATCAGAATTTTGAGGTTATTTCTCCATTGTTATTTTCAGTATGGCTGTTGAGAAGTTAGACATTATTTTTATTCCTCTGCTTGTAAGATCTTCTCTTTGTTTCCAGTGTTCTGGAACTTCACAATGATGTGCTTTTGTATAAGCCTGTTTTTATTTACTGAGCTGAGCAACTCATGTCTTTCAGTTCTGAGGAATTTTTCTTGAATTATTTCATTGATTTCCTCCCCTCTGTAATCTTTCTACGCTACTTGCTTGGAGATTTTCTTAGTTTTATTCATTTCTGCTCTTGTGTTTTTCAATTTCTAGACCTTTTTAATTTTTGAATATTCCTATTTTATGACTTCCTATTCTTGTTTCATGTTATCTGGCTGAGGATATTAACAATGTTTTCTTCGTTCAGCAAGTCTGTGTTCTCTTAAGTTGCTTTTTTTAGTTTTTTTTAGAGGCTTTCCTCAGGTATCTGATAATCTTTAGCTGTCCAATACTGATTAAGAGTAGAAGAGTAAAAGGTGATTAGAAGCTCTGAGAATATGAGTGGGCTAGTTGACTTTGAGCTTCACTGTGGATTGATCTGAGTTTGTTGGGAAACCTTCTATGTCAGTGTCTTAGGTATTTCTTCTTGGGCTACTCAAATCCCGCCGCTCCCCCACCCCCAACCCTCCCAAGGAAGAGTCTTATCCTATCTGGAGAGTAATGGCATAACTGCCAGGATTCTGAGGCCACATGGGGAAGATGACGGGAGGGGAGAGGGTAGTATTGTCTCTGCCACACCAGCTAAGGGTGGTTTTTACATTTTTAAATGGTTGCATAAGAAGCTACATAATGTCCTTGATTTTGAGTCTTCACCTATAATACCTGAAATACTTAGTATCTGGCCCTTTACAGAAAAAGTTTGCCAAACGCTGGTCTGGGGTAAGTAATGTATTATGAAACTTTATCTGCTACATATGCACACTCGGGAATGTGTATGTGTGTGTTTGAGTGAGCATGTGTAGGTCCTGTGATGTAAAAATCTTTCTTGCATTCTAAAGTTGGAACACCACTGTCATCTTTTGAGTTTTATGGTCACGTTACTTATTCATACTGTCTTCCTCTTTATAGAATGAATTGTCAGATGGATTAAACAAAAAGCGCCTACAAATCTTATTAAAAGGCTATGGTGAATATCCAATGAAATATAGGTAAAAATTTTAGTTCTTACACATTAAATAAATTTCACCAAAAAAGTTTTCCTGGCTAAAACTGTGTTTTAATTTCAGAATGTTCATTTGGCGCTCTCTGCTACAACTGCCTGAAAATCATACTGCATTTAGTAGCCTAGTAGATAAGGGTGTTCATGTGGCGTTTCTCAACCTTCAGAAGAAATACCCCATCAAAAGTCGGAGACTGCTCAGAGTATTACAGAGGTAGGTTCAGTGTATTGTAGCAATGCTTATGAAATCTGTAATTGGTGACTGTCGTATTCTAAAATCCTCTGTTTATAAAATATTATCTAGACATCTTTGATCAGCCGTGCAGTGTGTTGGTTTGTTAATTTTAAAAAACAAAACTTGTGTGTATCTTATATTTGAATATTAGCTTCGGTTATGTTCTAGAAAGTAGAACTCTTCCATCTAAAGGAACAAAGATGCATAGCAGGCATATTAGAAAGAGCTTTGAATTTGAAGTAAAGAACCTAATTTTGAATCCTTGTTCTCCCACTTTATGACTGTGATGTAGTACATGTCACGTTACTGTTCTCAGCCTTAATTTCTTTATCTGAAAATGGAAGTAATAGCACCAACATCACAAGATTATTGGGGAAGTAAGAATTAGAATCTTTTTTAGAATGGTTATACCAGCATCTGATACCTGGTAAGCACCGAATAAATATTAATAATGATAATAATAACTAACACTTTACAGTGCTTTCATGTGCCAAGTACTACTTTCTGTTTTTCAGATTTAAAAACTAGGGCATAGAGAAGTTAGATAAGGGATCAAGCCCAGGCCCCAGAATCTGAGACTTTTTTTAAATAAAGTTTTTATTAAGAAAAATTTCAAGCATAAATAAAAGTACAGAGAATAATATAATGAATAGCCTCATACCCATCACCCAGCTTTAGCAATTACCAACTCACGGCCAATCTCGTTTCATCAATATCTCCTCTCACTCCATACCCCCAACCCATCTCATTCCAACGTAAACACACTCCCTCCACTAAACATTTTCATACGTACCTCTAAAGGATAAGGACTTTTTTTTTTCTTTAACATAACACACTACCATTATCACACCAAAAAAAGAATTGACAATAATTCTTTAATATCATATATCCAATCAGCATTCCTGTTACCCTGATTGTATTATAATCTCTTTTATGGTAAACTTGTTAAATCAGGGTCCAACAAGGTGTACACGTTACATGTGGTCGATGTGTCCTTTAAGTCTTTTAATCTAAAGCAGGCATCACTTAAGGGCACTTGTTTTTGTAAAGAAAAATTTGACTCTGGCTGTTGAAATTACAAATGCACATATCCTTTGACTCAGCAATTCCACTGCTAGAAATTTGTTCTCAAATCTATATTCTCACATACAGAATGATGTACATCCAATAGCATTAACTGCAGTGTTTATAAAAGATTGGAAACAGCTTAAATGCCCACAGTGGGGGCCAAGTTAAAGAAATTAAGATGTGTCCATACAGAGTTGCCTTATGCTTCTGTAAAATATCATGAGAAAGTTCTGTGTTTGCTGGTATGAACTATTTCCAAGATACAATGAATTGAAAATTGCAAGGCGCAGAACAGTGTTTATTACACACCGCCATTTGTGATGCGTTTAAAAAGGATTTATACTTTTCACAGTGGTTGCTTCTAGAGAGGTGAACTAGGTAACAGAAGTGGGAGGGAAGATGTTCGTTCACCAGATATACCTTCTGGGTTGAATGTTTCATCATGTGAATTTATTATTTATTTGAATAATAATTTCTGGTCTCTATTTTCTTATTTTATTCACAGAACTCTATCCGCATTAGCTCACTGGTCTGCCATCTTTAGTGACACGCCGTATCTTCCACTCTTGGCATTTCCGTTCGTAAAATTATTCCAGAACAATCAACTCATTTGCTTTGAAGTTATTGCTACTCTCATAGGTAAGTAAAAAATTATTAAATAATGAACCCAGGAGTGATTCCCTATATGTTTTCGTGATATTTCTTTGTACCTTTGCAACTTTTCACAAATGACATTGTAATTGTTTTGATAAATTTTTACCAATAATTGGAGAACATTTGAAAAATACAGGAAAACATACAAAAGAAAATTATCCAGTATTTTTTCCCCAGAGATAATCTTTGATAATATACTGATGACTTTCTTGTGAGCATTTCCCCCAAATTATTTACTATTCTTGAAAAACATAATTTATTGCCTATATAATATAATATTTCATCTTCTGAGTGTACCTTAATTTATCTACTTCTCTATTGCAGGACTTTTAGATGTTTGTTTGTTTTCCTAATCATTCTACCTTTTTTAAACAGAGTTTTTTTTAAATCATTATAATCATATTGCCTTTATTTAATATGGTATATACATCTCCCTTATTTTGTTAACTTCATAAACATTTGTATTGACTGTAATATTCCATACTGTGTATGCACTAGTTTCATCTCTTACTGTTGGACATTTAGATTGTTTCTAATTATTACCTATTAAAAGTAACAATGTCGTAAGCACCTTCATATATAAATATTTATAATTTATTTGGATAGATTCTCAGAATTGGAATTATTTGGTCATAAAATATGAATATTCTGATTGATTCCCCAAAAGGGTTGAACTAGTTTACTAGCCAGTAGCACTAATTAGACTCTTAAGTATTTTAAAAGGAAGTGCAACAAATTATATTTAATTTAGATAGTCATCCAAAACTATGTTTTTTATTTCCAGTAAAATCTCATTACATAGCTAAAGTATGATTATATGCTAAGAAATTTATTTTTCTCTTCTAAGCAAACGTACCTGAAATCTAAATCTAAGGGATCATTGTTCCCTTGGCAGTGTTCAACATGAGTAGCTAAGAGTCTCAAACTAGTTTTGTTCAATAAACATTTACTGAGCTTCAACTTCCCGCTGCTTGGGATAAGCCATGTTTCTGGCTTTCTTGTGTTTATAGGCTAGTTGGGACCTAGAAGAAATTTTGAAGGAAAACAGTTACTTCTATGTATAAATTGAGACATACTTATAAAAGTTATTTTCATATACTCTTTAAGAGTCTCTTGTAACCAGGAGGACATTCTTAACTTCGGGTTTGGTAAAAGATCTCCACACAGTTACCACTTCTCTTTATTCTGCTCTCAGTCAGTTCTGTCTGTAAATTCTCTACCCGGTTTTTGTTGTGTGGTGACACGGAATCAGAATAAAAATACTTAAGAGAAGGCAAATGGTTATTCTATAAGGCAGAGTTTTCCTCTTGCCTAATGGAAAACAATGTTCTATTGATGAAGATTAAATTAGAATAAAAGAGCCAGGTTTTTGTGTATGTGTGGAGCTTTTTTAATTCTTAGAACTAGCAATGTCTTGCTTAATAAGACATTATAAATGTTACTTAGTGTTACTGAACCAGATTTTCCTTTTGAAGTTAACTTACAGAGTAGCAGTTTAAAGAAGTTGGAATATTTCTTTCAACGTTTAGTCTTTGCAAGTTTTTATGTATGATTTAATTATTAACTGAAATAAAATACTCACTAATAAATGAAATGGTGCAGTGGTTAAGCAGTCGGCTGGTAACCAGAAGGTTGGCAGTTCGAATCCACCAGCCACTCCTTGGAAACCCTGTCTGTCCTCTAGGGTCGCTATGAGTCAGAATCATCTCGACAGCAACAGGTTAATAAATGAAATAATGGAATCCTAGGTTTGGAAGGACCTTGTAAACTGTATGTAATCCAATATGCTACTGATAAAAGCCTTTTTTGCTGATTTAAGAAAGAAGATTAATGTCAAAGGATGAAGCCAGTTTTAATGTCAAAGGATGAAGCCACCATTCACTATTTGAAACCAAAAAGCTGAATGTATTCATTACTTAAGTAAGGGAGGGCTGTGGTGGTTAGACACAGGCTCACTGAGCAACACAAACTGATAATCTTCTATAGGGCTTTTGAGGAGACATTGTTTTGGATGTTATACAGAGTCCAAATAAGATGAAGCCTATTCACTGAATAATCCTACTTTCTAACTTTCAAAGAGTGTCATTGCCATTGATTGTTTCGTTTTCAAAGTCAAGTTTACTGAAACCAGTGTCATTGACAGATTTAAAGCCATTCTGGTTGTTACTTACTATTACGTCTATAAAGCAGTCTTATCCTAGTAATGGGGACTTTTTTATTCTCTTTATATTTAATAGATCCCTTAAATATCCTTATATTTAAGACATATATTAAATAATAATAAAAAAAAAAACCAAACCCATTGCTGTCGAGTCGATTCTGACTCATAGTGACCCTATAGGACAGAGTAGAACTGCCCCATAGAGTTTCCAGGGAGTGCCTGGTGGATTTGAACTGCTGACCTTTTGGTTAGCAGCCGTAGCTCTTAACCACTGTGCCACCAGGGTTTCCTTAAGAGATATACTCATTTATTTTTATGTATTGCTATCAATATGTAACTTTTTTCCAAACTTTTCTAATGTTGAATCGGGGTGAGATTGGCATGTTAACATTGATCGCATTTAATGAAGAATTAAATAGGAACCTTTTTAAAAGAGATTATTTTGTTAACCAGGAAAATCTAAATAGATATAACACAGGAGCCAGGAGGAACCAGAATGCCTCTGTGACTAGGATCAGTATACTTTTGAGGTCCTCTTCTTTTTTAGTAGATACTCTCTCATTGACTGCTAGGAGGAAATTTGCAAAATTTCTGCGTATGTAAGATACTATGTTAACATGGATTTTTAAAGAATTATTGTCTTAGAATTTAAAAAGTTACCATGTGTGGTTTACTTTATTCATGGGCATGTTGAGGACATAAAGAGTGGATACATTTAAGAATATGGAGTCCTTTGATAATACAGAAAGCTATTTAAAGATAAATTGTCAATTTTTTTCTTCATAGTCAATTGGTGTCAACACTGGTTTGAATATTTTCCTAATCCTCCTATCAATATTCTTAGTATGATAGAAAATGTTTTGGCATTTCATGACAAAGAGCTGTTGCAACACTTCATGGATCGTGATATAACTTCCCAGGTATGGAGTGTAAGTTTTTATAACAACTAACTTATTTTGGAAGCTAATGTTGGTTCTGGTATAAGTAAGACAGTATTTTCTTGAAAATGTATAGTACAGCGCATACTAAATTTTGTATTTTTAACAGTATTACATTCTTTTTCTTCATTAAACTGCTTTCCTCAAAGTCTGTAAATAATAAAAGGTCCAAATTAAGGTAGTTCTTTCCATAATTATGTTTTTAATATGACTTTAATAGCTTAAACCAAACTTATACGTGTGTTTTAGCAATGACTGTATTACAACTTTCCTTAGAAAACTAATAAAAAATTTTTTAGAATTTTATTTATTTTGTTGTTGTTGAGAATATACACAGCAAAACATACACCAGTTCAACGGTTTCTACTTGTAAAATTTAATGATGTTGATTGCATTGATCGAGTTATGCAACCAGTCTCACCCTCCTTTTCTGAGTTGTTCTTCCTCCATTAACATAAACTCACTGCTCCTGAAGTTCCTATCTAATCTTTCGGGTTGCTATTGTCAATTTGATCCCTATAGATAGTTCTTAAAAGAGCATAATGCTCAAGACAGACCTTTTTTTACTAGTTAAGCAAAACTGTTGTTTGGTTTTAAGAAGACTTCAGGGGGTATTTTTGGTTTAAGGTTTAAAGATTATCTCAGGGCAGTAGTTCATCCGCCTTTCATGGCTCTAGGAAGTTTAGAGTCTATGAGAATTTGAAATTCTCTTCTGCATTTTCCCCCCTTTGATCAAGATTCTTCTATGGATTCTTTGATTAAAATGTTCAGTAATGGTAGCCAGGCACCATCCAGTTCTTCTGGTCTCATGGCAAAGGAGGCAGTTCTTCATGAAGGCAATTAGCCACACATTCTATATCCTCCTCCTATTCCTGACTCTGCTTCCTCTGTTGCTCCAGGTGAATAGAGACCAATTTTTGTGTTTTGGATGGCGCTTGCAAGGTTTTAAGACCCCAGGCACACTCAGAGAACTAGGAGGTAGAACAGAAGCACTAGACACATTATTAGGCCAATTAACTGGGATGTCCCATGAAACCATGACCCTAAACCTCCAAACCAAGGAACCAAATCCCATGAGGTGTTTGGTTATACATAAGCAGCCTCAGCAGCTACTCTTCTTTTTTTTTTTTGTCATTATTAATATAATCTATCACACAACTTTAGCAAACTCAACTTTTTACAAGTGTGTAACTTATTAACAGCAATTACAACAGTTGGCTGCACAACCCTACCCTTAATCAATGAAATTTTTCCATCACCATTAACCCTCCTTTTCCCCTCTCCCTTCCACCTCTGGTAACCACTAATAAACTTTGTTCTCTATATGTTTGCCTTTTCTTGTCTTTTTATGTAAGTGAGGTCATACAATATTTGTCTTTTTATGTAATAAATTTTAAAATTTATTTTAGCTGTATGCATGGCCTCTTCTTGAAACTTTGTTCTCAGAAGTACTGACAAGAGAGGAGTGGCTGAAATTATTTGATAATGTCTTCTCCAACCATCCTTCATTCCTCCTGATGGCTGTTGTCGCCTACAACATATGTTCCAGAGCCCCTTTGCTCAACTGTAATCTTAAAGATGATTTCGAGGTAAACATCCTTGTTCTAAAGTAGAGTTTCTCAAATTTCAGTTATTTCAATAGAATGAAAAAGCCATTTATTTACTGAGTACCTGTTATATGCCAGGTACTGGTGCTAGGTGCTAGGAATACGGTGGAGAACAAAATAGACCAGTTCCTGCCCGTACATGGTTTATAGACAGTTAAACAGGCAATTACATCAGTCTCGTTAGTTCTTTTTTTGTCTTTTTATTGTTGTAGTTTAGATGAAGTTTACATTTCAAGTTAGTCTCCCATACAAAAATTTATACATAAATTGTTATGTGACCCTAATTGCGCTCCCCATACTGTGACAGCACACTCCTCCTTTCCACCCCGGATTCCCCATGTCCATTCAACCAGTTCCTAACCCTCTCTGCCTTCCCTCTCACCTCTGTACAGAAGCTGCCTGTTTAGTCTCTTGTATCTACTTGAGCCAAGAGGCACACTCCTCACGAGCATCACTTTATGTCCCACAGTCCAGTCCAATCCCTGTCTGAAGAGTTGGCCTCAGAAATTGTTTTAGTTCTGGGCTGATAGAAAATCTGGGGGCCATGCTTTCTGGGGTTCCTTAGTTCTTATAATTGTAGCTTCAGAAAAGAATCATGATAATATTGGGGGTTTATGCTAAAAAGTCTTTATAAAGGACGTTGAACAGTTGGGTAATTTATTCTGTGCATGATCTTATCAGTGACCCATCTGGTCTGTCTGGATGCTTGGTACCATGCAAAATGGTAACTGAGAGTTTTGACACTTGGCAGGAAAGTGACTGACAGAAAGCATTAGAGGTGACTTCAAAAAGGAGTGGCTCTTTTGGTAGAAAGGATGAATTGATTTTTTTAAAAAATTAAATTGTGGTTCCTGTCAAATTGATCACACAATAATGTAAGTTTTATAACTCTGATCTACCAGCACAATAAGATAATGTGGAAACATTTCAGATATTTTTAAAGAATCAAGCAAATTTATTTTCAAAGGCTAATTTATTTATTTTGGATTTTGGGAAAAACCCAAGCAGAAGTTGTTCTACTGTTGAAACATTTGTTTCTCTATTGTAAAGGAAGCTTTCATTTTGACAGTTAAAATTTTTAAAGTTTGACTTTTAAAAGTTGATAGTATGGTCTTGAAATTTTATTACATTTTGAAAATATGAAATTGAATCATTTTTTAAAGTTGGGTTAAGAAAAGCTTCAGTGAATTTGCAAAAAAAAATACCCTCTTAAATACAAATTGGCATTTGCATTTTTTAAACTTCTGTTTTTATTCTACCTCATAATTGCTTTGTTATAAATCCTGATTTAAACACATTTTTTACAGTATTTTTTTCACCATCGGAACAATCTAGATATAACTGTTGTAATTCGAGAAGTTTACCACCTTGTGGATACCACACCTACTGATATTCATCCAGAGAGCATGCTTGATGTTTTTGTCGCACTGACAAAAGGGCAATATCCAGTATTTAATCAGTATCCGAAGTTTATTGTGGATTATCAGACACAGGAACGAGAAAGAATAAGGAATGATGAATTGGATTACCTAAGAGAGAGGTAATAATGGAATAGTTGTTCTTTATCTGATAGAAACAGAATATAACAGTTTTTTATGAATAATACAGTTAAATTATTAAGTGTTGATGTAAAATCAGAGTTTGGAGACTAGAAATAGCTTTAAAAATGTTTGATACTTGCATATAGAAGTGAAGTCAATTACACATTAATCAGATATACATTTTATATTTTAGTGGTTCTTCGACTTAAACTACTTAGGGTTCTTTTTCTTTAGTTTTCATAATAATACATTATTTACTTAAGGCAGACGGTTGAAGATATGCAAGCTGAAGTAGACCAGCAAAGAGCTGAAGATGAAGCTTGGTACCAAAAGCAAGAACTGCTTCGTAAAGCTGAAGAAACAAGAAGAGAAATTCTGTTTCGAGAAGAAGAGAAGATGCTGGAACAAAGACAGAGGTATGTTTTATCACTTTAAAAATACCTAGATATAGGAGTTAGTTCAATGATTTCTTTTTCTTTCACTTTTTTTAATTATAGGAACAATTATAGGAACAGCACTAAATATAGCATTTTCCTGCTATAGTAGTTCCATTAGGCAAATATTTAAGTTAATAAAAAAGAAATCTATATATACCACTTTTCAAAAAAATTGGGATGTAGTAAAATGTAGTTAATTCTAAATCTACGCTCATTATGATGTAACTTTGCACTGATTATTCAGAAGTAACACAGGATCTTATGACACCTTGAAGGACATTATTAGAAACATTTGTTAATCGCCATGGGCAGAAGTACTTCAAGTAGAGTGCTAGATAAATCACCTTTAATGAGCATAATTTTTTAAATTTTTGTGTTTTAAACTTGTATTTGTGTGACTTGAAAATGGCACATAAAATGATTATCTCTTATGCAATTTATACTTTGGAGGACAGGAGAAGTACTAAATGCTTATTCAAAAATATGTTAATAAGGTGAGATTGTAAATTAAAATTATGGGACAGGTATTGAGACTAAGCTGATCGTTGGGAAACTCATTTCTATAGCCATTTATTGATTCTTAATCTTGAGTAGGAATTTATGAAGTAAATTTCTAGAGTGGATTAAAAAGATTTACTGAACTAAGCAATTAGCCTTCTACTAAAATTCTAAAAGAGTAAGCATGCATCATCCTTGGTAACACTGGAGCATCTTTTTACATCATTCCTTCAAATAAAAGATATCAATTGTATTGAAATAAATCCAAGTAGCAGACCTGTAAAAGAGCTTTTGAGTATGAAAAGGATAGCCAATTGCCTGTGGACCATTTGTCATCTTCATGAATGCAGACTTGTTTATAATTGAACATCTTTTCTTTTATATATTATAAATACAGCTGTGTTACAGTGGTACCAGTTAGATTGGAAAAGTGGATCAAAATAGGTGGCCAGGAGCTATTGTTGTGAAAATGTTTTCCAATTTAAATCTATATTGGGAAATGCTTTATTTGTTCTTTTTGATGTATTTTGTATTTGAAGACTGGCTGCTGTGAAGAGAGAGCTGAAAAGAAAGGAAATACACTTACAAGATGCTGCAAGAAGGCGTTTTCTGAAGCAACAGCAAGACCAACGTGAAATGGAACTAAGAAGACTGGATGATGAAATTGAAAGAAAGGTTTATTATTCTTGTCTTAGTACTTTATTTCCATTTACTGTCATTTAAATGTAATGAACACCTTCAAATTAAATATTATTCCTGCAGTTCACAATGAATACTAAATTGCCCCTTTAATTTTATTTGCTTTTCCCCTTAGATAGCTATTACTTATTTTCTTTGTATTTTGTTAATGGTTGTAATTTAGAAATGCTAGGAAAAATTAGTCAAGTTGACTAGTGTCCTTGGTGACTGTGATGGTTAAGGTTGTGTGTCAACTTGACTGGGCTAAATTCTCAGTGGTTCAGCAGTTATGTAACGATATAGTCATACTCCATGATGTGATCTGATGTGAGCAGCTAATCAGTTGTAAGGGGAGTTTCCTCGGGAGTCTGGCCTGCATCCAATATATATGGACGTTCTGGCAAAGCTTGCTTTCTTGCTGTGGATCCTGCATCCAGCTTGTCATCGTCTGACCTCCTGTTTGTGGGACTTGAGCCAGTGGCCTGCTGTATTGCCTGTCTGTCTTGGGATTAGTCAGCCTCTGCAGCCTGTAAGCCAGCAGCCTGCCATCTCACCTGCCAATCTTAGATTCATCAGCCCCTGCAGCCACAGGAGTCAGGAGAAGCTTCTCTCTCTCTCTAACTATATATACATATATATATATGTGCTTTGCTGGCTTTGCTTCTTTAAAGAACCCAACCTAAGATAGTGACTGTTTCTCTAGAAATGTCAGTCAGTATCAGTTAACCATTAAGTTAATTGTGAATTAGGAGAAATGTTCTTTTTCAATATAAAATTCATTCATGGGCAATGTAAAAACATTTCCAATACAAAATACGTGAAGTAAAAAAATGAGCTTCTGCACTCTTCCCTCAGTTCATTTCTAGAGATAAAGTGTTAAAAATGGCTAAAGTAGCCTTTCAGATGTTTTTCTATAAAGGAATAATTGGATTCATATTTTCTTATGTTTTTACAAAAATGAGATTATTCTCTACGCATTCTGTTTTTTTTTTTTAATGATATATATTGAATATTTTTTCATGTATCCATTCAGTATACATGGATCTATTTCTGTTTTTATGGTCACATACTATTCCATTGTTTCTATCTGCCAAGGTTTATTTAATGAATCTTTTTTATTAGAACACACCCACACCCATTTGTTTACATGTTGTTTATGGCTACTTTTGTACTACAATGGCAGAGATAAGTAGTTATGACAGAAACAATGACCCACAAAGCCTAAAATATTTACAATCTGGCCTTTTTCAAAAAAAGTTTGCCAACCTCTGATTTGTCTGAAAATTAAGTGTGAGGAAAGAGTTAGGGACCAAGCTTGCTTCTTTCCAAAAGGTAAGTCAGTTGTCCCAACACAGTTTATTGAATATCAACAAAGCCATTTGTCAACTGATTGTTATTAAATATTAAATTACTTTATATTCTTGATCTCTTCCGTTGTTCTATTCCTACGCTAGTACCACACTGTTTTAATGACAGTGTCTTTGTAATATTTTCTAGCTAGTAGGCCTGATTTCCACTTATTAGTCTTCTTTTCAGAGTTTTCCTCAGTATTCTACGATATTTATTTTTCCAAATAGATTTTGAGAATTTATCATTCTGTCTGAATGTTCTTCTCCCCACACCTTATTCGGATTTTTATTGGGATTGCATTGAATTTACGAATTAATTTAGGGGAGAATTGGCAAATGGAAATAGTCTATTTCAGGGAACTTCAAACCAAGTTTTGATAAAATACTTAATGTTTTCTCAATCTTTTAACATATTTTTAATTCATTTGTATTAGAAATATCTTCTCTGTTTATAGCATGAGATAATACTTTGTTTTGTTTAAAGCCAGTTAATTTTAAAGTGGTTTTTTTTTTTTTTTTTTTAAT